TGAGCAAACAGTCTCACTTACACACATTGTACAACTTACACACCTTATTTACCTAGTATGACTATGTAAAGTGATGCACCCATATATCACGGAATAATAGGCGTATTGGCATGATTCCTGAAACGATGCAAAATTTGAATATAGATGTTTGCATTCTTTTGAAAAGGTTTTTGTACATAAAGCGTATTTGCACTCAGTTTAGCTTGCTTGTGCACTGCAATTGTCGACGTTTACAGCTCGGTGAAATCTGGCAAACATGCGCTGCGGGTCAATGACAAATGCTACCTGGCACCATTGCTGAAGTCTGACAAAGTGATAGGCGTCTGTTCCAACTATGCTGACCACTGTGTGGAGCTAGGTGTACCAGTTCCTGTTGAACCAGTACTGTTCAGTAAATTCTCCAGCTGCCTCGTTGGTCCAACTAGCAGCATTCACAGTTCCAGTGAGACTCAGGTACCAATACGTGGCCATGATTTTCACTCTCACAGTTACGTGACATCATAGCAGGAGTACAAAGAACGTACCTTTTATGTATTGCTGTTAACATCAACAATACTTCCAACAAGAGAATCACTGCCGTTTGCAATACCTTATTGACATGAGTAACCTAGAACAAAAATGTGGTAAATGAGATACAACTAATCACCAGGAGAGCATACACATTAAATAGCCAGCATTGATGCTTTGTGTGGACTATTTAGCATGTCAGTGTGTGTCACCAGGCATGTAGCATACACGATTAAGTCTCCAGGGTCAAGTGCTTAGTACTTGCCCTTGAATACGCATAGGGTGCGCTGGTTCTTACAGGCTACTCGATGATAAGGAGAGTGAACTAAGGGTCGACCAGAGCGAGTACCTTGCTCCCCTTATCCGTCCAGATAAAGTGGTGTGTGTCGGTATGAACTACAGAGATCATTGCGAGGAGCAAGGTGCTCCGATCCCCACAGAACCACTCCTCTTCAGCAAGTGGTCAAGCTGCATCAGCGCCCCCTATGCAGATATTCAGTACACAGATGAAACGCAGGTATTCATTTGATCCTGGAATCTTGTCCAAATCAGACGGTGACAAACGTACGTCTTAACGTTGGTATTCATCGTTTGTGAATGTAGTTATTTTTCGTTGCATTGATGTGTTAAAATGCGAGTTACTTACTTGTCCTTCAGACTCTGGACTGGGAAGTTGAGCTTGCTGTTGTCATCGGGAAACAAGGAAAGAACATAGTGGTATGTATTCCTACACAGAAAGCTTCTATTTTGATTCGTAAATGATGATTCTAAAGTCAGAGGAAGAAAGAAATGGTGTGGGAGAGTGAGGGAGAGGGAGAGAAAGGAAAAGAGAGCAGAGACAGAGAGAGGAGAGAGAGGTGAGAGGGAGTGAGAGAGAGAGAGAGACAGGGACATAGGCAGAGACAGATCGAAATTGAGGAAGGAAGGGAGGGCAAGGGTGAGGGTGAGATATATTGGGTACTAGAAATACCGTTGGAATTTTACTGAGAACAAAAAACCCAATTTTTTTCCTGTTGTTGTAGGAACGTAAAGCCATGTCACACGTGTTTGGCTACACCGTGGCACACGACGTCAGTGAGAGGACCTGGCAACTACAGAAGAACTCTGGCCAATTCCTCATTGGCAAGGCCATGGACAGCTTCTGTCCTATTGGGCCCGTCATTGTGAGCAAAGATGAGATAGCGGGTCAGTGCATACAGCATCTGCCTTATTTTTCCTTACATGGGCAAAAAATAACTGCACAGCTGGTCCGTCATTCAAGGTCAACTAAACCGCAATTTGACTGAGTTTTCATTGAATTGTAGGTACTTAAGATTGAGATATAAAAGTGGGCTTGAATATAAGTTTCGAATGGAAGTGACTGATGCATGTTAAAAGAGATTAGTGCAAATATTGCACATCAAAAGCTAGAGTTCTCTGTGTCATAACTCGCTGTTATAACAAGTTGGTACTGCTCTCTATCATAGTAACGTTATGATATTTGTCCTTCAGATCCACACAACTTGACTCTGAGAACGAAAGTGAATGGCATTTTGAAACAAGACAGCAACACAAGCCAGCTGGTGCACCGAATTCCAGCATTGATCACTTTCATATCTAGGTTAGCCTAGAAGCCCTAGAAGCTAGCTATTCTTGATTTGCATTCAAGCATTTAATCAGATTTATTTTCTAAAGTCTAATTGAGGGTCTACGCCTAATTTCTAATTTAAATCTAATCAAAGTCTAATACTTTAATATCTAGTTTAATTCAATGATCAAGTTGCCCAATTCCATAATATCTGGTGGTATGTTGGAGGCATGCTATGGCATGTGGTAGTTCTTCTTTAAAAAATACATTTTTTTGCAGATTTTTTACACTTCTACCTGGTGACATCATTCTGACAGGAACTCCACCTGGTGTTGGCTGCTTTATGAAACCACCGCAATATCTAAAGGTAGTGGTAGTGATAATATTAAACTAGTGTCAGCATTAAATGAAACATTACACCAAAAAGAATTTGATGTTGGTGTTTTTATTCCTTGGACATACAAGCCACATATATCAATTGGATATGAGATGGAGTTTAACTACATATATTACTGAATTACCAGAATTCTTCTAGCCATAAATAATTAATTATCTTTGTATATCTGTGGTTTTAGGAGGGAGATGTGGTTGAGTGTGAGGTGGAAGGCATCGGCTGCATTCGAAACGCTGTGAGGTGAGGTTTTAAAGTGTGCATTCAGAGATTCTCAGTGATTTTACTGATAGCAACAGCCAGTTCTTGTTCTCAAATTTTCCTAATTTATCACACTTAAATAACAAAATACAATAAAAATATATAATAAAGAATAATAACTATAGTCGTCATACAGCAATCTGAACTGTACATTTTATGCACCGAAAGTAGCTGTGTATACTGCTGACATCTGTGTGGCAATATCTATTGAAGTTAAACTTTGTTTTCCATCACTCAGCATGGCTTTTGTTCATTCACTTGAGTAATTCACTTATATTTCAGGAGGCCTGATGCAGCATAACCACAGCACCATTTGGATAATGTGTTGATTGAATAAAAGAAACTTGCACCTTCAAAGTTAACTATTACAGAAATAGGTCCAAGTGCCAATTTGTATGATGAATTTTCCAGAATGAATTTTATATTTAGACACTATATTTGTATAATGAAGTTATCCAATTATCTATCACAGATTATTGCCTTTGTAATATGCTAGAACAGTGGTTCTTAACCTGGGTTTGACCGAACTTCAAGGGTTCGGTGAGCCAGTCTCAGGGGTTTGGCGGAGGTCCTTCGAAACGCATTAAAATTTAGCTATAATTTGCTATAATTTTTATTTTTTGTTTATTCTTTGCACGCTTTCCAAATATAGTCTTGAATGTTGATGCAATGTTTTATTTTTGGATTAATTAAAATTGATTAAAATTGATTTGTTTTTGTCAAATTTGAGGGGTTCGGCGAGTGAGCAGTGGGTTTTTGTTAGGGTTTGGCGCCTCTGAAAAGGTTAAGAACCACTGTGCTAGAAGGACTGGAGTGTCTGTTCTGTTAATTTACTAGCGGAAATGACAATATGATGTTAGAATATTGTTACATAACCAGTGATTTAGCCTTGCGGGGCAGAATATTTCTATTTGTGTGCCTTGTAGATATGTTAAGTGTACAGACCTGATTGAGGTTACGATCATAAACCGGTAACTGATAAACTGCTGCTTGCTCATTTGTAGTAACCTCAGGGGTTGAGATAACAGCAAAAGTATATATACGATATATAGGTTGTCTTAGAGATTTTATTGTGATAAATATAATATGCTTAAAACCTTGTGATGTAATTCATAATGATATTAAAAATTGATTATTGATTGTCTAACCTTTTTTTATCACAATAATTTGGGACTTTTTTATTTTGTCATGTTAGGAAGTGTAGGACAGCGCAGGCTTCTCCAGATATTATTTATAGCGCCCTACACTAGCCGCCCTACATGAGGTATCGCACGGCGAAGCTGCACGGCATAAGCAATACCATAAATAACGCACTACCTCATCCGAGTGACACCTATTGGTGTCACTCGCCATACATCCACGATTTACGTATAGAAACTATATGTTATTTTTACTGATTTCTCCGTATCTTTCCTTGGAGTTTTCATCGTCTTTCAATGCCTTTCGGTAGATTTTTCTGCATTTTCTGCGTGATTATTATTTTGCGCAGGCACTCATTTTGGAAATCCTCCAACATTTTTACTTCTTCTTTATAGTTAAGTTAGTCCATGTTTCACTGTTATTTAGGAAGGAAGGTAAAACTGTGCATTCGTATAATTTCACTCTTGCTTCTATAGTATGATTTCCATAATTTTGCTCTTCTGCCCATGATAATATTTCCCTCATCATGAACCTACATTTTTCAGTTCGGTTATATTTGGTGCATTTTTTGATTACTTGGTTGCCTATTAATATCTCCTTCTCTATCCTTTATTTGTTTGTAAATTTTATAACCATTGTATTTGTTTTGTTCATATTGAATTCTAATCTTTTTGATTCCGCTAATCTGGAGCATGACTGAGCGATTTTTGTTACTGTTTTATAATCTCCAATTCCTATCATATCGTCCATATATAAGCATTGTCATCTTCTAAAACTACAGACCATCCGCTGACCGCTGTGAAGACGTGCGCCGGACCGCGAAATTTTTTTCCCCACTTGAGTTCTGGACCCACCATAGATAGTGTTTTGTAATAAATGGTTGTTATATATATGGTTGGATTATAGTTAGTGTTAGGGTTCGGGTACGTGTTAGGGTTAGGGTTAGTGATAGGGGTTATTCATTTTACATTGTTGCTTCGATAAAGTCGAGTGAATGGAGTGCGCTGATTGGCTGTGGTCCGGAACTCAAGTGGGGAAAAAAAATTTCCCGCCGGGCCTCGAATTTGGCGCACGTCTCCACTGCGGACAGCGCTTTATACTTGAACATCCCCGCGGTCGCGTGCGCATATCCCGCGGAACTGCGCGTCTCATCCGCGCGCAGCGCTTAGAATCAACAGCAAATCTGTGCCACGCAATCTTGTATCATGTCTCTCTGGTTACATATAAACACATGTCTTAGCTATGGTTTCTGTGAATTTTGAGTATATTGGAGCACGACTAACAGTATATATATATGTGTGTGTGTGCGCGCGTGCGCGTCCGCGTGTGCGTGTTTGCGTGTGCGCGTGCGCGCGCGCGTGTAATATTCAATGACAATTACCAAATGAAAGGTAGCAGGAACTTGTATTTGACTACAAGAGAGAGAGAGAGAGCTAGCGTGAAATGAAGTATTGTGAAAAATTTTGAATTCCATGAACAATAAACACTGAACACGTAACATTTCTTTTACTGTAACTCAGCGTATAATCATGTTTAATTAGGAGAAGTGCATATATACATATCCCAATTCGAGTTGAATATGAATTTACAAAAGAACAAGTTTAATAGGATTAACGTTAATGGATCAAGTAAATATTTCGTCCAATGAATAATACTTATTTACAAAGCCAGTGAGGTTGGTTTAGAATCTAGCAAATAGAAACACAACGAAGGACACAGGAGTATATTTTGACAATGAAAATGTAGGATGAAGCCTCGAAGGTTTACTGCTATATGCGGTTGGTTAGGAATTTAGCAAATCGAATACATGAAACTTGTTTTGACACTGAAAATGTAGGATGAAGCTTTGAAGGTTGCCTGCTATGCTGATGCTGGCTGCCTTGCTGATGCTGATGCTGCCATGCTGTCGCTCAAGGGGTCGTTGTCGTAACAGGTACTACAGATATGTACCCGAGGTCACTGGCGTAGCTAAGGGGGGGCACAAGGGGGCCATGGCCCCCCCTGTTGATTGGCAAACAAACAAAAAATAATTGTTTTCCTTGCCTCTCACGCGTCTTCACAGGACTGGCCACAATTCCTGTTACTTCTGCATCTGCTGAACGAACATTCTCTAAAATGAGCATTGTCAAGTCTAAACTTCGTTCTACAAAGGCCCCAGCCACGATTCTCTGCTCTCATTCTCCTTTTCGTTGAACAGGAGTTAGAGTGAATGACATTAATGTCAACGA